TGGTGCAATGGTGTCACTTCTGGGTGATGTCATTGCATGCCACATGCTTTGTGCATTCAGCAGAAGCTCCAGGAAAGGCCTGTTCATCCCCCCACCAGCAGAAAGGTAGGACATGGCAACCCTAAAAGAGCTCTATTTGATTTGCTTATGATTCCAAGTGATTCTCCCACCCAGGCAATTCCACCATTTTCTAGGCTTTGATGTTTTTTGTCCAGTTTACAGTGTTACTGGTCTTAAGGGCTGCATTAGGTTATGACTGATGGGGTAATTGTATTTCCTGAGCTGCACAATGTTGGGTTGAAAAGTAAGCTACATACACTGCACCAAATGAGTGGATAGGCTCCTGTATGTCTTTAAAAAGACTTGTTCCATAGGGTCGTCAGCTGCTGGTTAGGAAATACTTGGAGATTTTGGGGGTGGAGCCTGAGAAGGGCAGAGTTTGGAGATGGGAGGGACCTCAGCAGAGTACAATGCCACAGAGTCCGCCCTCCAAAGAGGCCATGTTCTCCAGGTGAACTGATCTCTGTTGCCTGGAGACCACTTGTAAGAGCACTTGGAGGTTGGCAACTCTATTGTTCCAGAATAATCCAAGCAGAAGTATTTTATTTGTAATGGTGGAGATTTGTTTGTCTTCTAATTTGTAAGGAAAATCCCATGTTTGAGTTCAAGCTGAATGCCATAATGGCTGAAGGCAGCTTCTTTGGCTGTTCTGACAGTATTATTACTCTCTCTCCTAATATGACACTAGGTGCTGTACAGGCATTAAAAATAGATAGGTCCTTGTAAAGGAGCCCATGAGGATAACGAACAAAGGAAAATAGGGGAATGGAAGGGTTTGCAACCATGTAACTGGCTATCACTGCTAATCCTTCCAGGAAATGGAACACAAATAAACTGTGGCAGTCTGTAAATTACGAGTTCACTATGTGTGAGATTTCCAGTGGAAACAGCAATAGAGAGACTTGTTTTTATCGAACCTTATCTCACACAGCTGCTTATGGAGAAGAGCAAGGTTTACACATTTGCAAGAATAAGAAGTGACATTGGAGAGGATAGTTATTAGCTCAGAAAAGAAGTGCATCCTTCCTTCCTAATACACAAATCTTCTGAATTGTTAGATAGTTCCTCTTCAGGCCTTGTTAGATGAAAACAGCTTTTGCCAAAGGAGCTGGAGAGTGTTGAATAACAAGGAGGACTCTGTGAAGAAACAGAATTAGCAACAAATTGGTGACATTTATTAGTGACTTATAAAGTGTGGGCCCTCTCCATTATGGATTCAGTTGAAAAATATTGAGCTGTTTGCCTTGTTAGCAAGAAGTATTGTGTGTACGTTTGACTTTATAGTAGCCAGGCAGTTAGTCCCACGACTCTGGTGTTCAAACTGTTTCAAGGCCTTTTCCATTCAAGTGAACAGAAAGGACTTTTGCAGACAACAAGTGCTATTACCCTTGTCTGCACACAGTTTATTTCTGCATGCATTTGTAGCTGACCTATGAGTAGCACTGGTTCAGTTACAAATGCTGTTAACAACTACTGTTAACAAAGACTTTATTTTGTAAATCTGGCAAGGCTTAACCCTCTGTTAAATACAAATGTTTTGCCATGTTATCCTTCTGTATAAACTGACATGACTGTAAATTAATATTTTTCCAGGCTTCAGCTGAAAGTGTTCAATAATTAATCTTGGTACTCATTCCTTCCTCTCTTATTGAAATATATGTAAAGAAAATCCATATTTGAACATGCATCTGTTCTTTATAAACGTAGAACTACTAAATGAGTAATTATTACAAATAAATTAAAGGGTTGTCCTAGTCTCACAGCTATTGTTAGTGGGGTATTATATTTCCAGTTTAATGTTTAGTTAGAAGTAAGTTCCTCAGGGTTTCAAGTGTACTTAGTGAGCTATAAGCCTAGGAAAAAGGTTAGGCTTAGAAGTGTGTGATGTTTTGGGGAATCAGTTTTAGAGGTTCTAGTTATATGAACTTTGGTGGAAGTTCCATGTGTAAATATGCATAGTCTTGGGTTATAGCTTTTTTTGGTAATGTGTGAGGAGTTCAGTTTTCTAAATCCTTTACCTCAAATGCTGTCATGAACCAAGAATTTCCATTATTCTGTGCTTTTACCAAGGTACATGTGTGCAAACGGGTAGAAGTTTAGACTCTCATAGTTGCTTCCTAGATTACATTTGCTGTTCCTTTGAACATCTTGGATGATCACAGAAGTTGACATCACTCTGTGGCAACTGTTACCTATTACAAATGTTCAAATATGTGGTGCATTATTAAGGCTACCAAGTACTTACCGCGAATTGGCGGGGGACACATAGTTCTTGGCGGGAACATTCCCACAGGGAAAACACACATGCTGCACTATGCTGTCGCCCAGATATGACGTAGGCACATAGCCGGGTGGCACTCTAACAATGGGGCTGAAAACTCAATGGTACCATCAAGTTTTCAGCCCCATTGTTAGAGTGCCACCCGGCTATGTGCCTACGTCATATCTGGGCGACAGCATAGTGTGTTGTGGGTGTGTTACAGGCAGGAATGTTCCGGCGGGAAAGCATGTGTCCCCCGCCTATTCGTGGTAGGCGGGGGCACACCCTATGCATTGTAGTAAATGTAGTAATATAAAACTGTTGGCAGATAATATAGTAAAAAGATGTTCCTAGATAATCTGGTAATCAGGTAACATGGGCCCCGGTCACATGGGAGGATTTGCCCCGCAAGAGGGACAGACTGGGGGCACATCAAGCAGGCACGAACACACCGCAACATCTGGGAAGCGTCACTCACCTGTTCCCGATCCGTCCCTTCAGCCCAAAAACACGCATTTAAAAGGTACTAGCAACAGAGCACTACCTTCCGGATGATGCGCAGCAACTCCAGGCATCTGGTCAGGGAAGCGCTGGTAGCCCGTCGCAGCCAGCGCCGTTCCCAGTCCCACGCATGCGCACAACCACGGTACTGCCGGTTTGCTGTACAATGTGATCGGCTGCCGGAGCACGGAGCCGCGGGGGCACATCGGATCGCGCTCCCGCGGTTCTTTTTGCTCCGGCTCTAATTTGCCTCCCTTCGGCAGTGGATCATCCTGTTTGTGTGACCGGGACCATGGTCTCCTTCTGTAGTCATTTTGCCCCCCTTGATATGGATCTTGAAGCAGGCAGATAGAAGTGCTCTAACATTCAATATTGGATTCCTTGCCAGAACTTGATATGGCAGTGGATCAACATCCAGAAGGTAAGTTCTTTTTCCTACTTTGTTATCTTCTTGTTGTTTTGATCTGGCAGCCTTGTGAAACCTCCCAGAATAATGTTCACTTATGACCCCATTTCATATTGTTTCTGGGTTTGAAATACATAGACTCTGACATTAACTAATACTAGAGCCGGAAGCAGTGTTGGCTGCCTCTTTCCTCAGAGTCAGCCTAGCATTCTTCCTTGATGTATCTGCACTTGTCTGCCTTCTGAATCACATGGATATACATGTTTTTAACATTCTAAGAAAATACTGAATAAATTTAAAGCACCCTCCTAAACCCACTGAAGTTAGTTAGGGTTGTTTTGAGGACAAAATGGAGGAAGGGAGAATGATCAAGGCTATTTTTGGGCAGCAACGCACAGGAACGGAGTTCCGGCTGGGTCCCAGGTTGACCACGCCCAGCAGGAACTCATTAGCATAATAGGCCATGCCCAATAGCAGAAACTCATTAGGATTGGCTACATTGGGGGTGTGGCCTAACATGCAAATGAGTTCCTGCTACGAAAAAAGCCCTGGGTTTTGACCACAAACAAGGTAAACAGAATAAGAAGCAAAAGGTGGGTGTGGCTGGATGACTATACTTCTGGTAACATGGGGGTGCGGCCTAATACGCTAATGAGCTGTGCTGTCATGGGTGTGGCTGGATATGCTAATGAGTTTCTGTTGTTGGGTGTGGCCTATTATGCTGATGAGTTCCTGCTGGGCTTTTTCTACAAAAAAAGCCCTGAGAATGATGTATACCACCCTGGAGCGCCTTGGTGAAAGGGTAGTATAAAAATGAACTAGATAAATACAGAATTCTTCAGGTCTGTTATTTTATTCATAGGTAAATGTACAGATTTGACTGATAACCTATTCCAGTTTTACTCCATTAACCAGTTAAGCTTTATATTCAGGTGCACCGTGTCTCTGATAGGCAAGTGGCCTGGCATGGGTAGCTATGGGGTTGCCATAAATCAGCTGTGCCTTGATGGCAAAAAAAAGTAGGCAAGTAACAGGAGTAACTATTTCTGCCATGTTTGGCTTATGAACTTCTTGTTGGCCTCTAATGGAGGAAACAATAATCTTGAATTGATGGACATTGGTCTTACTCACCAAGGCAATTTTTCATTCTGAAGTCTGTAATCCTAAACACACTTACCTGAAACTAAGTTGCACTGAAATATTTGGAGGATGCTTAGTGGGAGGATACAGAACTGGCTGTGGTCACAAACACTAAATAATCCATTTTCAATGAACTGGCAAAATCCAGTTGGAAAGAGCATTGAAAGTGGATTGAAAATGGATTATTTAGTGTGTGTGACCGCAGCCATTGTTTTACCAATGTTCTTTCAATGATGAAGTACAGGGGATATTGTTCTTTTCATTCAGTCATGTATCTCTGATGGGAACATTAGAAATTCTGTATGCTGTTAGAAGCAGAACAGCTCTGTGCTGTGTTGCTGCAGGCGCTCAGGAATGTCACTTGCAGAACATTCCTTTCCTTGGGCAGCCAAGTTTGGAAAGCAGTTTATTTCTGGTTGCAAAACCATGATGGTGTTTGAATGGCAGACATGGCAAGAGAACTCCAGTTTCCATCTCTGCCAACATACTTCTTTCGCCTTGCAGAGACAGGTTTAAAAAAAACAGCTGCGTGGGGCTCTTGGAAGGAGGGGGGCAGGGAGGGAAGGGGTGAGGGAGAGGAGAGCACGGGAGTGTGTTTGAATGCTTGTGATTGGTAAGCTTTGCAAATGCATCTGCCAGCAGGACTTCAGCGGAATGTGAAACCAAATCATTTACAAGTTAAAGATAGACACAGCTAAAGCAGCATCTTGAGCCGGGGTTTAAATTCAGTCTCTCTCAGGCTTCTAGTTTGGGAAGTTTCCTTTTTGCCTCATCAAGGACTCTATTAGTATTTCTTCAGACAATACAAGAACTCTTAGGGCACTGGAATTGTCAGGGTGTCAGAAGACCATGGTGCGTGCTGCAGGGTAAGTCGCAAGCCTTATTTAAGCTCTTCTTTCCTCTTACCGTACATTTTTACTTTCCTGTGATCTGAGCATTATGTGGAGTCAGGCTTATAATAGACAATGCTCCTTGTTTGCCTTTTATGAGTGGTTCGGTATGCATGCTTCAGCAAGCTGGCATTACAGAACTATACTTGATACAACATGTTTATCTTTATATTTTGTGATTGTGGATATTTTTAAAAAGTCCCCCCCCCCCCCCCCCCCGGGACTGTTTCGTTTGAGCAGCAGAAGTCTTTCCTGCAGCAACAGAGCTGAAATTGAGTTATTCTTTGATAAGGGGCTAGCATTATTTAAGTCAAATGTTTCTCATGATTCCATTTTGATCTTGGTTCTGCAAAGTGGCAAATAAACAAAGTGTAATTTGGGAACATGAAACAGAATTTTATTCATAGGCAACATGTTTTTGTACAGGTTCCTTTACCTCATACTGTATGTCTTTACTGGGTGATGTTTGTATTGTATGGTATAAATTGCTTATGTTTCTTCAAGACATGCAACAGAAGCATTTTCTAAAATGAATTTCTTAAAGCATAAGAAGGTGCAGAGTGTACTTGATCTCTTGGTTAGTTGATAAAAAATAGATTTGTGTTTACATATCTTTAAGATCTGTTAACTTTTTTGCAAAGTTGTCCGATCCAGAATAAGCTGTATTGCTGTGTATTGTTACTCATATATAGATATTAAAATAATGGGACTTGCATGAAACCAACGTCATTGTGAAATTTTGTATCTTGTGAGAGGAGATGGTTGTCAATTCTTTTTTTAAAAAATAAACCATTCTCTTTAATGTTGGTGAGTGAGAGAAAGCTGAGAGATATATGCTGCATTGAAGGAAAAGGTATTATAAAGAGTTCATAACAAGCTGTAGGCTGCCTTATTAGATTTTGTAAAATGCAAGGCTTGCATTTAATCATTTACAACTTGCAAATTTTACTGTGGTGTAAAAATATTTCCTCCTTTCCACTTACATTGTTGGCTTTCCAAATTCCTATTTGTAAACACTCTTTTTGTAGTACCTGTAAGAGAGACAAAGTCTGTTTTATGGTGATGTGTAAAACTCCTGCTCTCTGACTTATATATTCTAGAGAGTTGTCTAATGCCTCAAGGAAATCTTTGCTTTGCAGAAGCACTTGGCTGCCACTGGAACGGGTTTTCTTTATTTGACTGAGATGCTACTGCACCTGACAGTTTGTTCTGTTACGTTGTTAACAAATTTCATGTGTCATGATACTCAAAGCTGAAATAACTATTTACCAGTGAACATGATTGAAAAGATCTGGAAATTAATTTGCAGAAGCAAACCAAATATGGGGGAGAAGGTGGGTATTATAGTACCAGAGTGTGTGAGCTCTCAGTTTCCCTTGCCCTGTGCTACTACTGATATTAAGTGTTTTATGAAATGTTGTCAGTGTGCTTTGCACTGGGAACTCCAGATGCAGCCTCTATTTAAGATCTGGGGTCACTGCATTTAGTGTTGCTGTATGAGTACTTCACTCGTGTCAGAAGTTCCAGGTTGCCCCATCCTGAGCGCTCTTTAGGCCAGTGGACTTTAAAGTATTTTGCTTTGTCGGGATGGTGCTCTTATACCTTGATTTAAGGACTGTCGTAACAGCTTTCTCAGGCAAGAATTCTAGATATGTGAACATTAAAAACATGTATGTTTACAGCATTTCAGTAAACAATTCTCAGTTGCTTCCAAACTTGAAATTGCATAGGAGTAGCATAGAGCAGTTGACAGGGATGCTCTAGTATTGATTTTTAGCCAAGGAACAGTTTCCTTGCCATGACAGACATCACTCTGGTAATTTAGCACTGATACCTCCATTAGGACACATGAAGCTGGTTTATGCTGAATCAGACCCTTGGTCCATCAAAGTTGGTATTCTGTACTCAGACAGGCAATGCCTCTGCAGGGTCTCAGGCAGAATCTTTCACATAAGATTAAGATCATAAGGAGAGGCCCTTCTGACTGTCCCATCAACCAAACAAGCTAATTTGGTGGGTACACAAGAGAGGGCCTTTTAGTGGCAGTCCCATGATTATGGAACAATCTCCCCAGGGACGTACGCCCAGCCCACTCACTTTCAACCTTTAGGAAGCAGTTGAACATGGGTTTATATAAGACTCCATTTGGTTAAGCTTATTGGTTGTCCTGAATTGTGATTTTAAATCTTGGTTTTATATTTTAATGTATTTTATATGTTTTATCTATATTGGAAGCTGTCTTGAACTTCGTTAAGGAAGAAAGGCAGTTAATAAATGTTTTCAATAAATATCTCCATATATATATATATATATACATATATATATCTTTTGGTGTGAATGCTGTACACGCTCCCACAGCCTTTGGGTCCCTCAGCTGCCACTCTGAAGGACTGCCAATCCCTGGCATGCATTCCCTTGCTGTGTTGCCCCGCTCCTGCCGACAGAGCCCGCGGCCAGCGTATTGGCCTCAGTCTGAGGGGAGCCAGCGAAGGGGATGGATCCTCCGCGAGGGACAGGTGGCCTCGGACCTCCCCTTTGCTAACCCGGCATCCGTCTGCTCCCCATCCTCACCCCCCCTTGCTTTGCAGTGTGCTGGTAGGGCTCTGGGAGGGGCGGGTGCTGGCGGCCCACATGGCGCAGTCAGCCCAGCAGCCAGGGTGAGAACCCTGCGGCAGATGGGGGCCACAGGCCCAATATCCCACCCAGGATGAGGCCTGGCCTCCCACCCATGACATCGCTCACCTCGCCGGGGCTCCCGTCCTGCGGCAGCTTGGCATGGTGTTTGACCGAAGCTGCCAGGAGAGGGGGAGAGGATACAGGCAGGCTTCTTTGTGCCGCCTTTCCCTCACCCTCTTGGGGGAGCACTTCCCTTCACCGACCTCCCCTTTGAGGCTCCATCTCTCACTTCTCTTCCTGCCTCTTTCCTCTCACTCATCCCCCAAATCTCTTCTGGAGGCTCCGTCACTCTCTGCCGAGATGGACAGGGCGACGCCTTGCCGTGAAGCACCTGAAGGATCCCTCCGCCCTCTGCTTTCTTAATGCCCCCCAACACTTCCCCTTTCCGCCTCACCTCTCTTTTGATCGCACTCTCTCCTCTCCATCCCTTGCTCTGCTCTCTGCCTCTGGCTTGCCCAGCCTGTCCCATCTGCCCGTCCATCGCTCTCTTCCTCCTACCTCCAGCCCCCTGTCATCAGCACACTTACCTGGAAGTCTGACTGAGTGCAATAAAACTTCCAGGTAAGTACGCTGCAATTGGGGCCTTTCCCCCTGCAGTGTCTTCTGCAGATCTCCCCTTTTCAGCTCTTCTCTCTCTCGGTCCAGCTGCCTGATTTCTTTCTGTCTCCTTACCTCCGATTCTCTCTCTCTTCCCCCCCTTCCCCCCTGTTTGCAGATTTCACTTTCGAGCTCTTCTGAGTCTGCCTTGCTTGCTTGTGTCTGTCGTCCTTCTTTCCTGCCCGCCCGTCCGTCCATCCCTCCCTCCCTCCTCCTCTCTTTCTCTCCGTGGAGTCTCCAGACCCTCTTTCTAGAGCTCGTTACATTTATTTTCACAACGGGCCTGATTACTAGTAAATAAATAACCTACTGCCAGATCCTTTGACGGGAGATGCCAGGGATTAAACCTGGGACCTTCTGCATGCTAAACAGATGTTTTACCACTGATCCACAGGCCCTTAAGGAGGGACTGAATTTCCTATAGATTGTTTTGTGATATTTAGCACAGATCTAACATGGGATGTGTGGAAAAGACTTTCTGTATGTTTAAACATGATGGACAGTATCCTACCTGTTAGCTCAGTAAAGTATAGAGCCTTTCTCTGGTGGAGCTGTAGCTAACAAGCCTCCTGCAGGCAGAACTGGCAGATGCTTGTTTTCTGAATGTCCCCCTTTCCATTTTAAACACCTAGAAAGATGATGTCTGGAGTCATGGGACAACCTTCATAGAGGAAGAGCCATTGGGTTGGGGGACTGCAGTGAGGAAGAGAAACTGTGTGAAATAAAGCCTCCCCCTTCCACTGGTAGCGTTCAACAAGCTGATTGTGTTGGTTGGGTGCACTGCCATCACCTTTTAAATGGGATAGGTGAGGCATTAATGTTTGTAAGTCACAGAGCAATTCTCAGGTTCTACTAAAAAGCTACTGAGGCATTTAAAATGTCTCTTTTGGTTGATTGATGTTTTCAGAAACTAGGATTTTATGCAGGTATTAAAATGGAAATATCTGTGTTTTAAAATATATATATGAAGTGGGCTTCCATATTGACTCTGGTAGCTAAAACATTTCACGATATTTATTCAAGGACACAAAGGATTGCAAATGGCTATTGAGGTGATGTGTGGTATATGTTGATCAAGCAATAAAGCATAGATGTTCAGGAAATTCACGACCTGTGACCATTGTTCCCTCTAAGCTGAGTTAGCGTGAGCTAGCTCACAGTTTTGTAGCCTCCAGCTCACACATTTTTGTCTTCACTCAGGAAGGATGGCACCAGAGCAAACTAATTTATGCAGCAGCCAAATTGCTTGCTCACAACGTCAGTGCCAGTAGCTCATTAAGAAGAATTTTTGCTCACAAGACTCCACAGCTTAGAGGGAGCATTGCCTGTGACCAGTTTTGGCTGGACAATTTAGAGCAAGGGCTACTCAGCTGATGGCTGAGGGTGCCATGGGACTCTCCTCAGTTGCAAGCTAGATTGAGAAAACTCTCAGCATGGGCAGCTGAGCAGTGTGAGGAGTGAGGCATGTACTGGCCCCATCCAACTGCACCTTGTTGGCCCAGGCATGCCACTCAGCTGACAGAGCAGCTCCTTCAGCCAGCCCTACATTTGGGAGCAGCCACTGGGCTGCAGCAGATCACGGGCCAATTTCGAAGGTTAGTATGAACCAGGGCTTGGCCATTTTCTTACCAGTCCAGTGTACCAGGCCAGATTGACTTACTTTTGCCTTTTAGGTATACATCCAGTTTAGTAGTATGAAATTA